GTGGCCTTGCAAGTTGCAGCCAGCGGCGGTTGCACGGCGACAGTTCCTTCCCTCTCTCCTGCTGCTGCTGTGTTGCTGCTGCTCGGCCCTTTGAACTGAAGAGGCGGCGGGGGGCGATGGAGGCCGCCAGAGAATAGAGTTTGGGGTGTACAGACACCGCAGACTCAGTTGCTGCATCTGCTGCTGCTGCTGCTGCTGCTGCTGCTGCTGCTGTGTCTGTTGCTGCTGCTGCTGCTGCTGCTGCTGCTGCTGCTGCTGCTGCTGCTGCAGCAGCACAAGTGACCTCGTCTGCTGCTGAACGACCAAAGGAAAGCCATCTTCTTCTCTGTTTCATCTTTGCTTCGTCAAGATTACAAAATTAAAGAAAATTATTTTTTAAATACACAAATGCAGCAGCAAAAATAACTGCTGCTGCTGCTGCAGCAGCAGCAGCAGCAGCAGAGGAGCAGCAGCAGCAGCAGCAGCAGCAGCAGCAGCAGACCAGTGGTAGTCTGTAGATATGGTGGGGGGTGGTGATATCCTAAACCAGCAACAAAACAATTAAAATATAAAAATTAATTTATTATTTATTTTATTTTTTTTTATTTTTTATTTTATTTTATTTTTTTATTTTAATAAACTGCTTATTGGGGTTTATATTGCCGCCGCCTACAGCCCCCCACAACCACCCAACCGAGGGTTTAGGGTTTAGCGTCAAGGGTTTAGGGTTTAGGATTTTTAGGGTTTAGGGTTGAGGGTTTACGGCTAAATGTTTAGAGCCTAGGGTTTAGGGTTTACAGTCTAGAGCCGAGGGTTTAGGGTTTAGGGTTTAGGGTCCCCAAGCGAGGTCTCTGTTGAGCTTTCTAGGGTTTAGGGTTTAGGGTTTATATTTGTATCCTCTATTTGTTGTTTGCCTCTCTAATAAATGATTTGTTTTTGCTTGCATTAGGGTTTAGGGTTTAGGGTTTATTTATTTATTTATTTATTTTTTTTTTTATTTTTATTTTTATTTTTTTTTTTTTTAATTTATTTTTAGGTTCGCCTCGTGGCGACGAAAAATACAAATTAACAAACAACACGCTGCAGCAGGCAGCAGCACAGCAGCACAAATTTAATCTGCTGCTGCTGCTGCTGCTGCTGCTGCTGCTGCTGTTGCTGCTGCTGCTGCTGCTGCCGCTGCGGATTGATAAGCAGCAGCTGCTGCAGCAGCAACAGACAAGTGCAGCGCGAAGGCTAACTTGAGAGCCCTACCCATCCTGCTGCTGCTGCTGCTGCTGCTGCTGCTGCTACTGCTGCTGCTGCTGCTGCTGCTGCAGTCTACCAACTGCTCTCTGCTGGCAGCCACACGCTCTCATAGACAACTTGGCTGGGTACTACCCCGGCGCCGCCAGCAGCAGCAGCAGCAGCAGCTGCTGCTGCTGCTGCTGCTCTTCTACGAGGCCTATGGGGCTCCAGCTGCTGCTGCTGCTGCTGCTGCTGCTGCTGCGATTGCCACAGCTGAGCAGCAGACATAACAGCAGCAGCACGGTCAGCAGCAGCATGTCTACTTGCTGCTGCTGCTGCTGCCTCCTGTGCTGCTGCTGCTGCTGAGCCCCTGGCGCCCCTCCTACTGGCCTCGTGCTGATACAGACCTGCAGCAGCAACAGCAGCAGCAGCAGCAACAGCAGCAGCAGCAACAGCAGCAA